CCGCCTCCACGAGGACCCTCTCGCCACTGCGGACGCCTGCGGCGTGGGCCTGGATCTCAACCAGGTTGCCGTCAACTGCGTTCTCAAGCAGCAGCCCATCTCCGTCACTCTCAATGGGCCCGCAATCTTCACCTTATCTATGAGCCTGGCCCTTATCATCCACTTCCTCGAGCCCAGGATCGCAGAGTTCCTCATTATCCTCGTGCCCATCCTCCTTCTCGTCCGCAATGACTATCAGAACTTCCTCGGCCTCGGGCCCGGAGGCACGCCGGCCACGTTCCAGGGCTACATTAGAATAGCCTGGCTCCGGCTGTGGGCTCTCCGGGATCCCTTCACCGCACCGGACCCAAAGCCCAACAGCCTCCCCAAGAGAGGCATCCTCATCCGGCAAAACGACGACCAGAGCTTGAGCCGGCTGCCGTACCGCCCCGGGCCGCGTCCGCTGGTCGCCGGGATCGCTCCGCAGCGTCAACTCGACCAACACGGGACAACTTCGCACTACTACGCCCTGAGGCAGACACTTGAGCGTCTCGCGGCCGAGAAGCCGCTCAAATTCGGCACGGCGAGGTCATGTCTGGAAAAGCATGGCCTCGGCCTGTTTGCCCGGCATCCAGTCAACGTGACCTGCAACGGGGAGGTGTGTCATGTTCACGACTCAGATCACTCGTTGCACATGAGTCTGCATCCCGAAGACATCCGAGAGGTCCTCGCCAAGGGATGGGGCCAGCGACATCCGCTTGCGTGGAAAGGAAGACTCGTACAGATGCCTGTGCCGGAGGAGTTCATCATGGTATACGCGCCGAGAGGTGAGTGAGATAAGACACGAGTTTGAGTTGCTTCTTATCGTCGAAGGGAACGAAAAAGTGTGCTGTTTTAGCTGACATAAATTTTTAGACGACCATGAACTGAAGATTGTATGCCGCATTATCGAGGCAGCTATCTGGTACGTCGTCTCCGAGAAGACTGAGATCAAAATCGAGAAGGCCATCTAAGATGGCTTCTCGTTGAAAACGCTCATATATATATAGCATCGTTTCTTTACGCCAAAGGGGATACAACTTGGACGAGAAGGCGTTGGATAAAGCACGTAGATTACAAGTACAAGATAAAAGCTTTGGGAATATTGAGATTGATTTTGCCCTGAGGTCCTGAGCTTTGTGATGCTATATCAAAAGGTTCTATCACTGAAAGTCCCCGCCCACGCCCATCACATGCTGGTGTAAAGAAAAGCCCTGTCGTTTCGCCAATAAGAGAGACGTATCTCAGTCACTGTCGCTTGCCTGATCCTTCTTTGATTGTTTGAATTTCTCCCTGCCCGTCGACACAGACGCCTCAACCACCCGGCCATCGAAGCTGCGCCCGTTCATAAGCTGTATGCATGCCTGCGCCGACTCTGGTTTGGAGAACTTGACCGACACCACACCATCCGGCTCCTCGTCATAAAGCACCACATTAGTCACAGTGCCCAGCTTGGAGCACTCGTCGCGAATATCCTCCTTGATCTCCAGCAACGCAGCCGGGTCCTCCGCCAACTCTTCGAGAGTGAACATGTGCTTCAAGATGACCGTCTTATCCCATTTGGAGTTGGTCTCAGTCGGCATCATAGACGGCTCGTCGTCGCTCCAATCAGCAAGCTTGGCTGCCATCTTCTGCGTCTTGCGAATGATCTTTTGCCTGTCCTTGTCGTTGCGCTCTCTCTTCTGCTGTCCGTTTGACGACCCGCCATTCTCCTTCCCCTCAGCTCCCGCCCCGTCTTCGTATTGTGTCTTCTTGTAACTTGAGTCCGCCGCTTGTACGCGCATCCTCGGCTGTGCTGCCGGGCCATCGTACCGGAAGTCCGTGTCGTCAAGGAGCATGATGGCCATCTCGACGCTCTGCGGCTTGAAGAAGACAACCAGCGCGTCGCCCTTGAAGTTGCCGCTCTCGTCCGTGTACATCTTGATTCGCGGGCGACCACTGTCAATTTCTTCGGCGATGACGCCTGCCTTGCGCGAGAAGAGCTCGTGGACCTCGTCGGCTGTTGCGTCGGTGGGCAGACCGGTCACGTACACGGCCGTGTTCTGGCGCGGCTGCGGCGGCGCGCGCGCAGGTTTCGACTTCTTTGCCGGGCGATTGTTTCCGTTGCCTCCATTTCCGCCTCTGTCGTCCATCCCGCTCGGGGAATCTTTGCGTTTCCTGGAGTTCGCGTTTTGTGCTTCGCTACCTCCTGGGCCGACGCTGGCACTGGCGCTTCTCGAGAGATCTGCGAGCTGTGCGGTGTGGTCGTCGTCGAGAGGCTCGAGAGGTTCGTCTGCTGCCTCAGCCCATGTCGCGGTCGTGGAGTCGAACTCGAGCTCGGTGCCATCGTCGAGGACAGCCAGGTACTTGTTGTCAAGCTTAGAGAAGGAGATGCGCTCGTCGTTGCCGAAGTCGCCAATGGACGTCGGCAGCGGATCCTTTAATTGATCTGCCATGCTGTTATGTAGTCGTAGTGTCGATGGGAGGTGTTCGGCTCAAAAAGGTATCGAAATTAGCCAAAGAATGGGCGAAGACGTTGGGTAACGGTTGTTGCCTATGTTTAAGCTTGGTCTGAAATGCAAAGCGCATTCTTGGTGACGTTAGTGGAGCAACGGCAGTGAGCTGCAGGGAACATCAGTGCAGGACTTGGGGTCGTGTGGGGTCGTCTGATCTAACGCAAGCTTACCGCGAGGATAAGCTGCGAGCTATCATGTCAACCACCAAGTGCATTGCGCCAGTGAAATCCTCACTTGTTGCAAGGCATGAATGTTCAACAACTGGGAGGTCTCGGACAAGATCTACCTCGTTGAGACGAATCATCTTACGCTCTCCTGCGATGTATTAGCATCATCATACGATGATCTCCTAAAACCAAAACGTTCGGCAGAATGCATTTCTTCGTTATTCTTGAGTGTGCTCGAGTTCTCTATATTCATCCTCGTCTATTGTAGGATCGCCCCGCCTGCATGCCTTCAACCCGTTTCCACTTAGCCCTGCTTCTTCTCCTTGACCGTTGATTTGACTCCCTCCACGAACGCCTCCACAGCTTCACCGCCACCTAGAGGCATGGCACCGCCCCTCATGTAGCCACCGTTGGGGACCTTGACCTTCAGGGCCTCCGCGACAGTTGGAAGGCCGCCATCACGAAGAGCCATCGTCAGGCTGCCCAGGGCCTGGTGGAATTGAGGACTTCTCAGGACTCTCTCCAGCAAACGCTTCTTCTCCGCCAGGCTCAAGGTGGCCATGGCGGCGGCTGCAGCATCTGCTGAAGGCTCCGAGTCACCCAGGTCGTCATTCTCCGTGGCCAGAACCACAATTGCTGGCGGCAAGAAGCCAAGCAGCGTGTCTATGTAATCCTCTGGGGCTGAGCGGAGCATGGGAATGGTAGTCTCGTTGGGGAGCAGGTGGTGCAGGTACGGAAACGGTTTGTCAGCTTGCTCTTGGCCGCGCTGTTGAGATCCGCCCAGGGAAGAATTGCCCTGTAATGAGGCCAAGAAATTGCGAACAGCAGCATCCGCATCGGTGTTACCAGAGCTACCCCCGGCGCTATCAATCAATTAGCATGGGTTCATATCAACAGATCAAGCCGTGGGCACCACGAAACAATGGCAAACTCCGAACCCTCGTCTCTTTTGAAAGGCTCTAAAAGTACAGGTGGCGCCGTTTCGCGGGCCTCACGTCTTTTCCCTGACTGTGCCAAAGCAGTCCGTATGATTCTAGTGACCCTGGACTCCGACCGCAAGAGACATGCATTGGAAGGAAACCTACGCTCGAGCTCCATCACTACCACCCTCTCTAGCATTCTCGCCCTCTTCACGCACGTCGCCGCCTGTTGCGCCAGCACCAGCACCGCCGCTGGCCGGGTGGTCTCCTTGGCCCTCGGCATCTTCCATTGTCTCGTCATCGTCGTCGTCCCGTCTGTCGTCGGTGTTGGGGACCTGCGCCAGCTCTCGGTTGACGTTCACATCCTCGCCTTGCAGAAGGGCGTTGACGACCTCCCCAATCTTCTTATCACGGGGGCTGAACCAGCTGGGGTCACCGGTGCGGGACTGAGGCTTCGACTGGAGCCAGAAGAAGTGTCGCTGGGAGGAAGAGCCGAACTTAAGCACAAAGACGCGGCCGTTGGTCTTTGCTGTGGGCTGGTCGGAAGGAGTATGGGGGAGGAATTCGCCGTCCATCGGAACCATGACGAGGTCGAGATCGGGAGAGTCCATGGCGGCGCTGCGCTCGCGCCAGCAGAAGTGGATCAGATCTGCCGCTTGTTAGATGCTGACAATGGCCTTTCCCCTTGCAATTGACGTACCATCTTCGGAGTAGAGGTAGATGTAACCGGGCGTGGCCTGGGGCTTGACCTTGTAAGGCTTGCTGGAGGTCTACAGTCAAGTCAGCGAACCGGGGTCTGAAGCGTAGAAGCCGAGTAGGTCACTGACGTCTGCCTCGCAGATACCGGCCTTGAAAGTAATTATAGGCACGATCGACATGTTGTGCCTTCGACTTTGTGGTATGTGAGAAAAAGAAGTGAGGTTGAGGAAGTCGAGGTTGAGATGGGTAGATGGCCGTTTGAGGTGCAGGTGTGGTTGGCGTCACGTTGAGCTCGTTTGGATTGGAGCTCTCTCGAATGCAATTGCGTAGGAGCTCCCTGCCTGCGTGCACCTTTGCCTGCCTCAGGTGGGCTGGCCGCCAATCCCACATGCGCCAGTGGACGGTCCCGATCAGGCACCCCTCCACCTCAGCCTGCAGGGCTCGCTGCGGGCCGTCCTTAGTCCGGCGAGGGGATGGATGGACCTTGAGAGCGGCGCTGGGCAACCAGAAAGTGGGGTCCGTGCAAACCCAGAAGCGCAGAAGCAGAGAGCACCGCACCGCAATCAAAGGGAACAGTCAAAAATTTCCCAAACCCCACCTCGACCTATTTGAACCTGAACCTCTACACCTCCTCACCATCTCCTGCTTCTTCCCTTCCAGATACCCCTTTTCTTCTCTCCAAACCTCTTCAAAACGCAAAAATGGGCTTCGCCGACCTTCTCACTGATGCTGGTGCTGCCAGTAAGTTTCTGCAGCGTTGAATTCTTTCTTTCTTTCATCGACTGACAGTGAGTCAGTGCTGAACAGCTGGCTCACCACCCGCTCCTACATCGTTGGGTATGTTGACACCTTTTTCTCTGATGAACCCCTCTCGAGCTCCTCGATTCCATCCTCCCAATCCTCGCGGCAACAACATGATGAGAAACATTGGTCCGTGTTTCGGAGGCAGCTTAAGACCCTGCTAAACGACGAAACAACAAGCACTTCGGTGCAACTCTGAACCCCGCATCGCCCATTCACATTTTGATCCTCAGCATCGTTGGGAACCATTGTCGCTGACAATTAGCGTAGCCACTCCCCTTCCCAGGCCGACGTTGCCGTCTACAAGGCTCTGTCCTCTGCCCCCGACGCTGAGAAGTACCCCAACGCCGCCAGATGGTACAAGCACATCTCCACCTACGAGAGCGAGTTCGCCACTCTCCCCGGTGATGCTTCCAAGGCCTACTCCGTCTACGGCCCTGAGGCCTCTGAGCTTCCCGTGAACCCCGCCAAGGCCCCTGCCGCCGAGGAGGACGAGGACGACGTCGACCTGTTCGGTTCCGACGACGAGGAGGAGGATGCCGAGGCTGCCCGTATCCGTGAGGAGCGTCTGGCCGAGTACAAGAAGAAGAAGGAGAACAAGCCCAAGACCATCGCCAAGTCCGTTGTCACTATGGATGTCAAGCCTTGGGGTATGTTTGCTCTCTGATCCCACAAGAATGATCTCGAAGACTAACCAAAACTCAGATGACGAGACTGACATGACCGCTCTCGAGGCTTCCGTCCGTGGTATCGAGAAGGATGGTCTGGTTTGGGGTGCCTCCAAGCTTGTCCCCGTCGGTTTCGGTGTCAAGAAGCTCCAGATCAACCTTGTCGTCGAGGACGAGAAGGTCTCTCTGGACGACCTCCAGGAGGAGATCAGCGAGTTCGAGGACTACGTCCAGTCCTCTGACGTTGTTGCCATGCAGAAGCTGTAAAGTGCTTTATGATGGAATGGGAGGGATGATTCACGAGGCATGATGGTGGAGACATGACAATCCATAGAATCCTCAAAAAAAGGTCAACGTGGAATTGCTCAGCACCAGCGCAGGTAACATCCTGTCGCCCAAGAAAGAGTGCGAGCCCAAGACTTTGATGAATACACATGAGGTTACGAAGACCTTTCAAGAAGTAAAACAAAACAATGTTCTCTCCCGTTTCGATAATTGTGTCCCATGTGCTTGATGCCCGACTTCACGACAAAACCCCGCACCAGAAGGACCCTGATAGCATTCAGGCCGCTGCAAATTTTGAGTCAGACCGGGACCATGAATTTGACGGTGGGTGGGCGGTGAGGTGTAGGTGGGGCACAATCAGCGCTAAGTGAGGGGCAATTTTCATGCTTTCCCAAAGCGGTCAGACCAACGCAACGCGACCTGACTGGGCGGGATGAGGTAGCTCGCGGCGAGTTCCCATTCCCACCTCCATACCGCGATCCAAACGCGACCTCGACAAGTCAATTCCTCATCCATCACTTCCGCAGGCGTACGAAGCTTGATCTTTGGATCGTGCAAAGAACTCTCGCATCGCAGGCTGCATAATGTACGGTGACTTAGGCAACAAACTGGTGCGCAGACTGTAGCTCTGACCCGCGAATCACCAAAGAGACTAACGCGTTCTTGCAGGTGCAACACGCCAAACGAACGCAGAACCTCGCCCATTTACCACCCTACCAAGCCGAGATAGTACGAGCCGTGGCACGCGAAGTTAGAGATCTCGATAAGGACGTGTCGGAACTGCTGGAGCCCTTCCAAGGGTCTTTCGACCCAGCCGCAGACCAAGCAACTGCATGCACGCTACTTGTAAATCACCTGTCGATGCGCAGAAACAAGCGATGTCTACTCGCATATCATCGAACCCGAACAGATAAGCTGGAAGAGTCGGCGTGGAAGGGAGTGGACGTCCTGGATCTTTCCGGGCAGCAAGTGCGCAGCAATGCCGGATCGTCAACCGGAGCCAACGGGGGTGCTGATGGACCAACGAGCAGTCTGAGTCCGCAAGAGGAGGAATACGTGAGACAATACGGCGATCTTCTGGCCGCGTATAAGGGTCAGTGGACTGACATCGATCTGACGGGGAGCTTGGAGCCGCCCCGTGACCTGTTCATCGACGTGAGAGTCTTGAAGGACGCGGGCGAGATACAGACCGAATATGGGTAAGTTGGGATTGCCTGAGCCACAACAGAATGACAGATTTATCTAACACCAGAGATCTAGCGCCATCAACCTGACGAAGAACAGCCAGTTCTACGTGAGGCAAGGAGATGTTGAGCGGCTCATAGCGCAGGGTTATCTCCAGAAGCTCAGCTGATGGCCGAGACTCGGCGCGATAACGCAGCACCAAACTCTAGAGAATTTGAGACTAAAAGAAATGTGTCCTCGCATCTCCTCATGTTGGAGATCAGCGGGGTGTGAGGGGTGCAGATGCAAGAACGCCCTGTCCAAACCCTTGCACGGAACATCTAAGTATACATACAACAGGATGCACGCCACGCGGTGCGCCATTCGCGGCGGGATATCGTAATACGCTGCGTCAAGATGATGCGAGAAATCCAACATCTGAGCATGCCTTGTTGGCGTCTCGCGGAATGCGCGGGACACACGCATGCAGTTTCAAGGGGTTTGGGAGAACAGCAGCGGGATTCATGACGGATGGAGGGCCAAAACGGCCCGGGGATTTGCTCCTGCATCGGGTCTGGATGACGGGGACCACCACCAACAACAAAACAAGGCCCGGAGCAGAATGGGGCCAAGATCAGCGCGGATGGCTTCCGGAGCGGCCGACTCAGGAAAAAGTGGCTAACACGGCAACGAGGCAACGGCACGCGGGAGGCTCTGGTGGAGGGCGAGAGCGGGCGCTATGGACGGGCACAAAATCCAGACCAGGCACATGGCACGCAAAATATCTGCGTTGCTAGGCTCTTCAATGGGTCATTGCTTTTTCCTACACAACGAGATGAGCGAATAATCGAGGAGGAATGTCTCGCATGTGGTAGCAGTGGTGCACGTTTTGGGCACCTTGGATTCGACGGGCGCAGCTCGCATAGCTCGGACATGGAGAAATAGGTGCGGTTGCGCGTGGAATGGATATCGGATGTCGCGATATCGGCGGCGGATGAGCAGAACCGATAGCGATATAAAACATTCGACGATCGGCCTGCATTGAAACCTCGCACACGTCCACGACTGTAGACGTCTCTTGAGCAGAATCTTTGCGGGCTGTTGTCCGCCAGTCAGCCAGCCCGTCAGCCAACCACCACAGACAACAGCTGTTGGTCGTGGAGCACAGCACGGCACAGGCATGGCAGGGCAGAGGAGGGGGAAACCTAGGCTGGCCTGGTGCGCAGCATTGCATCATGCGCTGCATAACGCCGTTGGCTGACCTGCCTAGGTGCCTGGGCCGCCGCCCTCCTGATCGTCTGCCCAGCCCAGCAGAGGAGCCGGAGCCGGAAGCTTGCTGATGACGGGTAACTGGCTTGAGGTGTAGTGTTGGTGTCTGGTAATTTGCCGCCGGACTGAATTTCCTCATCTCGCAAATACATCGGGTCATTGACAGAGACGATGAGGAGCAATCGACCGAAAATCCCCAATTGACAAGCCGTTACCCCACGAGAGACGTGAGGAGATGAAACTTTCAGCATTACATTGTCTGTTCAGACGTGAGCTCGGGCTGGGACAAGGCCGGTACAATGCACGGCGAGGGCGAGTCCACAGGCCGTTCCCCATCCGGTGTCCTGTTGCATCTCCACTGTGTGCCGCGGGCAGCAGAGCTCTCTCCAGTCTTGTCAGTCAACTTCCAATGGTGTTGGAGGATTGCAAGTGGTGCCGCAGGGCCTGGCTTCCGGAGAGCGAAAGGCAAAATCCTGGATCCGAAGTGGGCCCCAACGTGAGGTGAAAGGTGACACTGCGCCTGGTGCTGGCTCAGTTCAGTGTCTGGTGCAGTCTTCCACTGGGACTGACTTGCTGCCCACGTTGCCCACTGAGAGTGCCCGCAGCGGCTGTAAGTGGTCATCGACATGGATGCACTGCATGTTTTGCTACGGTTACGTAGTGCGACGCGAGCACGCAGGCTTGGTTCGCCCCTCATTCAACTCACTTCCAGCCTGCGGCAACAGAATGGAACTGGCTGCGGTAGATGTTTGGTAGATGGGACCTTCTGGTGGGCTCCTGTGGCCACGGAATGTCCGCTAGAAACTGCGAGGGTGTGCGCTAGGCTTCCCTTGTGCGGCCCGGATACCTAGGTACGGTACAGAATACATTGGCCTACAGCGGTACCATGACTGTTAGGCCGCAGAAGAGGCGCTAGTGAGGGGCGAAGAGCCACATGCAAAATGCAAATTTGACCTGGTTCAAGGTTCGTCTAAATTCTCTGCAGTGCTTTGCATCGCTGCTGCTGCTACGCAAGTCAAGTGAGCGCAAGTGAGTGTGAGTGTGTGTGTGAGTGAGGTGCGCGCGCGCCATGTTGACGACAGCTTCGACCACCACAGACCAGACTGATGACTGTCGCTCTCGCCGCTCGCTCGCTCGCTCTTCCGCCCATCCGTCCGTCCAGTCCCTTTCCTAGCTTCTCTCCTCCCACGCACACTCTATTCTCTCTTCTCCAATCTGCCCATCTCCGATTCCCCTCTGGTTGTCCACCCGCACGTTCCATCAAGCGGGTATTCCTATCTATCAAGCGTTTTGTTTTAGCCTCTGGCACTTCAGCTTTTCCTCAGCATATCGCACCCAGACCAACACCACAGAAAAAACTAGACGGGACATCCTTGTCTTTACTTTGTAGATCCAGTCCCGCCCACAGCCCGTCGTGTAATACACTTCCCCATCTCTTATCAGCGCCGACGCTGCCAACCCTTTTTACGCTCTTCCTTTCTTTGCGCCCACCCTAAGCATCGCGAGCTCGAGCTTCCCAGCTTTTCCCATGAAGCCCAGCTAAAACCTGCAACGACCGACCGCCCAGCCATTGGCCTGGTTCTCTGACAATTGGCACCCGTAGACTGGTGCTCCGGCGAACCTACGGCGCCTCCCGTTCCCGCCCTCTACCGCCGCCGAGAACTATAAACCCAGCCAGCCATGTCTTCTCCCAACTTTGGCTTCTCTCCGTGGAGGAGACGAGCTTCCTCGCTGAGCTCCCAGAGGAACAACGAGTCCAACCCCGAGAATCCGCTTCTTAGTCCTGGTCGCAACTCCCAGCTGGCCAGCGCAGACAGACTATCGTCCTCTGTTTCGAGTCACCGAGAGCCTATTCGCTCCTTCATTCACGGCACCTTGAGGGACCACCTAGGCAAGCAACCCTCGGCCCGCGCGATCTTCATACCAGACGCCACAGCTAACTCTTGATCGCCAGCTCCCGTCGATAGTGCCCAGTACGCCCGCAGCGTTCGCGAAGATACGGCAGAGCTGGCCTCGTACCTCCTATCGGACAAGAAGACGGGCCAGAGCCCGGCGTTCCTCTCCCGCCAACGCTCCCAGAACTCCCAACTCGCGCGAGAGACGGCGATTTCAGACAACGAGGAGGACGATGTGGGAAGCGCGCACGTCACCAGCTCCGATACCATTCAGGAGGTTTCTGAGCCGGCATCGCCAGAGGAAGGGGAGGAGGAAATTCTCGAGGACGGCCCCTCAATCCTGACGAGCTTGCTGAAGAGATCACCGCCGCAATCGCACCGCGAACCCTCTCCTGACGCTCGACCTCACTCCCAGCAGTCCCACTCGGAAGTCGATGAACCGAAGCCGAAGCGATCGCCGTCCAGAGAAAGACCCGAGCCGGAGCCGGAGGTGCAGCGTTCGTACGAGGCTGTTGTGGAGGAACCGACCGAGCGCACCCCGTTGATACCGAGGCTATCCTCCGACAGCTTCAGCACAGATGGGAGCACCAATGGGGTCGACGTTGAGGGACAAAAACAAATGCCCAAGAAGCATTGGTTCCGTGGCTTGAAGGA